GTGAAAGAAGTCAGTCACAACTAAGATGTCTTTAAATAGAAACACACATAAAACAAGATGATGTACTAACTGATGGATGGGCAAGCTAGGACCAGAGGCTGGAAGGAGACTAGCTCTGCCTTTTGGCCAACAATAATGTTTTAGTACTTGCTAGAACGTAGAATGTTTCTGCTATATTATAGAACATGAAGGGAATTTACTATAAGCATGTAATATCTGTCATTTTCGTCAGAAAGTAATTTGTTTTTAGAATGCAATGAACAATCTATACTTGCAGATAATAAAATGAATGGATTATGCAATAGAAATATGAACAATTTTATGAAGAGCTTATTTATGGCAAAGAAAATGAAAGAGCAAAGAAACAGGGAAAGATGCTACTCTAATTACCAATGGGAAGAAAGCAATTGTGTTCACAAGAATCATTTTTTAAACATGAGATTGACGACATTTTTGTAATTTGATCAATGTACCCAAGTATTGGATAATTTGTGATTTCTTTTAAGTGGTGGAAAGGGGAAGTAATTGGATTTTTAGGGAGTGTTCCCTGTGGGTCTACTCTCGGGACTATATTGAAGTGTAAATACATTACATTACAGGGGTGAGGAACCTTTTTTCTGCCAAGGGCCATTTGGATATTTATAACATCATTTGAGGGCCATACAAAATGAAATGAAATTATTGACAATTAGGCTGCTGCAATTTGGTCAAACCTTTAAATTACCCCTATGCCTTGGGAGGGCCAGACCAAATGATTTGGGGGGCCTTATATGGACCTCAGGCAGGACGTTCCCCACCTGTGGATCAGAGGATCACTTTAAGAAATGGCTGGCACTCACCAAAAACTCAATAAATATTATTAAATGAATCTTAGATATTGTTGGGCTCTGGGTGGAGATGGAAGCCCAGATAAGAACAGCTGTCAGTCATACTGTTAGCCTCCTGACCCCCTCAGCCTGGCAGGGAAATACAGCAGCCCTCCGAAATACACAACACATGATAAGTACTAAAATACTAGCTATTATTAGCTCTGTACACTTTTTATCTAATTGTACTAAGGCAACAAGACTCTTCCTACTGAAAATAAAGTGCAACAGAAGGCAAAACTCCCAACAGAGAGAGGGTGTTGATGAAATGCAAGGGGATGTGTGCAAACAATGAGAATCCTAAGGTCTTCCCTGAAGAGGGCTACACAGAGGCCACATGAACCATAGAGGGAGTAGGATTTGGAGCCCCAGGATGTGGATTTGAGTCACTTGAGCACTTGCTTGTATCGTTGTTAGTTCTCATTCAAAGAAGGGCTCCTGCCCTGGCCTGGCCAGTGAGGCTCATTTGCAGCAAAAGCAGGTTCCATTCTGGTCAGGGCACACACTGGGGTTCCATACCCCATCAGGGCGTGGCTGGGAGGCAACTGATCAGTGTTTCTCTCTCTCTCTCTCTCTCATATGCATGTTTCTCGCCACTCCTCTCTCTCCCTTCCTCTCTCTAGTAAAAAAATTGAATAACTTTATTTTGAAAGCAAAGAGGGGCTCCTGCTGGTTGGAAGCCTGGATTGAATAACCTGTACCATCTTTCTGAAACTCGGTGGCATACATTTCAGCCATTTGCCTTTGACCCTATAGAAGCTGGAAAAGGACAGGAGACAGAAGCTTGGTGGTAATTGGTTTCTTTTTCTTTGCTAGGATCTAGAATCTCCAACAGCTAATGTTATTAAAGGCTAAGATCAGGTAGGTAGGATTAAGGCTGAGGAACTGCTCCAAGCCCCCCTGCCCCCATGCCAGAGACCTCTTCACCACTTTACCCCCAGCCCTACCCCACAAGGCAGTGAGTAAAGTCTTAAATAACTTGAGCTGGAATAGGCAGCACTACAAGTTTCCATACTTGGGAGGTGACCTTGAGTCTTTCTCAGGCTCAAAGGAGAAAATCAACCCCACTGGGTGCCCTGGAGGGCTGTGTGCAGTTTGGAGGGCTGGAGGGCATGGAGCTGCCTCTTGGGTGCATGATAGAACAAAGGAGGGGCTATTACCTTGAGAGTGGTCCTAAATGCCCCACACCCAGGTCACTGCCACATCCCACAACCAGGGCAGATAATGCCCTTAGGTCAGACTGGATTTTAACTAAAAAGCCTTATAGGTGTGGGATCCCTTTGCTTGCTGATGTGAACAAACCTGTTAGGTCGGAGAGAGCCCAGAATTGGATACATGCAGATGTGTGATGAGATAATCAACCCTCCCTGGAATTTCTTACAGATCAGCATGCCAGACACAGATACGGGCTCCTCCCTGAATCCACAACGACCCCACACAGATACTGACTCCTTCCTGAATGCCCTGCCAATCCCCTGTGGCAGGAACTTCCTCAACTCAGGCCTCAGGCCCCTCACTAAACCTGTATTAAAGAAGTGCCGCCCCTCCCTGTTGGCGCAAACTCACTGGCCCTGTCTCTGGGGCTTCTGGGTTTCGCGCAAGAACATGGATTAAAACCTCTTTTTCCCTTTCTGATCGGCTCAATTCCCTTTTCCTGCAACACGAACCTAACAAAACCAACCAAAAAAGACATTTTAAGGCAATTGGGAAAATGTGAACATGGACTGAGCATTAGACAAACTTAAAGCACTCTGTGTCTTTATTAAAAGGGATCATGGCACAGTTCTTTTTGTCAAAGATAAAAGGTCTTCTTCATGAAAGAGGTCCATAGTAAAATATCCTGGTTTCTGGGATGAAGGTTGTTTTTTTTCATGTTTCTTCAAGGGACTCTGCTGCTTGGCTGGCTGGCTGTGGACCCCACTGTTTTCTTCTTTTGAGTAGGTGAGTCTTCATAGTGTTTTCTGCCATTTCCCCTCATACTTTGATTCTTCGCATTTAAAATTTAAGACAGTTCAGAATCATTCTGATGTGGCTTTTGCTGCAGTGGTTGTCTGTGTTTTACCCACTGGTCCCCAAAACTTCAGGATATCGCTGCCCAGTTTCTTAAAAGACCACTCTAGCAGGACAATCGTGAGCAGCTGCTTTATTTCCTTTCCTGTGTGAAATGCCCAGCCTGGTTGGCTAGGTACCCTTGAACCAGTCGTATGTTTTCCAGTGTCTTTTCAAGTATAATTGCATCATATGTGGATACTCCCATTTTTATTTCCTCTAGTCACCCAAAACTTTTTCCACATCCTCACCATGAAGCAGCAAAAATGGAAAATAACTGCAAAAGCCCTTATCCCACATGCAGTTAATTCCAGTATGTTCTGCATGTAGAAATTGTTAGGTCGGAGAGAGCCCAGGATCAGATACATGCAGACATGTGACGAGATAATGGACTCCCCCTGGCATTTCTAACAGATCAGCATGCCAGACACAGATACTGGCTTCTCCACCACCCCACACAGATACTGACTCCTTCCTGAATACCTTGCTGACCCCTTGCAGCTGAAACTTCCTCAACTGAATAGCTCAGCTCATGTCCCCGCCCCTCACCCAACCTCAGTATAAAAAAAGCGCCCCCCTCCCTGTTGGTGTGAATCCACATGCCCTGTCTTTGTGGGTACATGGGTCTCCCCGGGACACAGAAATAAACTTTTTCCTTTCCTTTCTTTTCTGATTCATTGGACTCTCTATTTCTTGCGCCGCCTCCTGAGTCACCAAATCTAACAGAAATCCAAGTAAAAATAACAGGCAAGTTCAATCTGAAAACACAATGAAACAGCATTGTGTGCCAGGAATGTGCAAAGTAAATTGGCTTCAGAGAGCTTGTTTGGAGGTCCTAGCAGGGCAGCGCAGCAACTCTTATACCCATGAGAATTTCTTGACAACTGGAAGGAAGAGAATAATCCTTAATGACCAGAGTCATCCATGTGTGTGTGTGGCGGGGCGTGGGGGGCGGGGGGGGCGGGCAGTATCTCATAGCACAAGCAGATTTTGCAGGCCCCTCCAGCAGAGTATGCTATTAACTTTGCATGGTAATAGATGGTAACTAGACTTATTATGATGATCCCATGTACTGTTTATAAATGTCAAATCACTATGCTGTACAGCTGAAGTTAATATAATATTGAATGCCAATTATACTTTAATAACAAATTCTTTAAAGGATAGATGAACTGATAAATAAGTGAATGGATGGATGAATGGGTGAGTGGATGGGTGGGCAGGTGGACAGGAGGTGGAGGAGTGAGTGAGTCCCGGGATGGAAGGTTAGCCCAGAGCCCTCTGACCAAACACTGACGTTCCTTCTTGCTGTCTGCAGCCACCACCAGTGTTGTGGGCCTGCTGCTTTCCCTACCAGCCTGGCCTCCCCATTTGCCCAGGAAGCCCATGGAGCCACTTCTGTGTACCACAGGGGACAGTGTTACCTGGGCTTAGGCCTGTGACCACCATCCTCAACACAGTCCTCACCAGCTTCCTATCTGTGATCAGGTGGCCCCACATGACCAATGTCCGGGAAACACTACCTTCTTCTCTTCATGCCTATGATCTTCTGATTTCCTTGGTGGATTTAGGTTTTTAATAAGCCTGGGTTACTTTCCTGTTTTAAGAAATAAAAAAAATTATGAATTTTAATGAAAAGTCATAAGTAGCCCCAGATCTTGGCTTAATGTCATAAAGCACAGATTCTAGAGTCTGAGAGATGTGGGGATGAGTTCCTACCCAGCCACTGCCCCACTGGGGGCTTTTAGCAGTGAGGTACCCCTCTTTCTCTCCATTTCCTCTAGAAAGAGATAATACTACCTCCTGGCCTGTTGTGAAGGACAAGTGAGATGACATTATTTAGTGAAGGGTTCAGGATAGAGCCTGGAATACAGTAAGTGCTTAGCAAATGTCCTCTATTGTTATCATTACTATGATTGCTATATGATGGTCAATGTGAGCTAGAATAAGATCCCAGGTGGGCATGGTGCCAGCTGCAGAGGCTGTAGTTCCAGCTGGGTTCCCCGGAGCCTACACTTTGCCATTGCCATGATGTCCTACAGATCAAGCCCTGCCCAAGGGCCAGCCACCTGTACGAGATGCTGCTCAGCTCCTCCAGGTTGGTGGGCATAAGGTACCAGTGTATGTGTTCACACCTCTGCACGTACATCTCCATGCAGTGCAGGTTCATTGTGTACACCTCCAGTGGCTCCACTGCTCACTGCAGGGGGTGGGGGAAAGAAAAAAACAATTACACCCCAACTCCTCACAGCGGATTCTAACTTTATGGATTCTCCCTCCTCCTCCTGGTCCTCTCGTGTCTTCACTGAAAAGAACATCCTCTACCTGGACCAGTCAATGTGCGATTGGGTTTTGTTGTCGTTTTCGAAGAAACTCTCTTTCACTTTGTAGGATGAATATTTTTTCAATTTATTTCTTTGCTAAAACAATCCTATGAGGTACATAACTGTAGCTGTATCTGGAAATGTATCCCATTTGTGATTGGCCTATGTGCATGAAAATGCATAGGGCAATCCAGAGAGCAACAAGGAAGAATGGCAGTTAACGCTGCAGAGGGAGAACTAAGAAATTTAAATGGGAGCAGACTACCTTTCATCATATAAAATTATGTGCACATACTTTATATATATATATTTCCAAGTGGTTGACTCTTATGGATCAATTTTCAAAAGTAGTTAGATGTACAGCTGATGCTTGAACATTATGGAGGAGCACTGAAGAATCCAAGTATAACATTGATTCCCCCAAAAACTTAGCTCTGAATACCTACTGTTGACTGGAAACCTTACTTGTAACATAAACAGACGATTAGATCATTTTGTACATTATATACTGTATTCTTACAATAAAGTAAGCTAGAGAAAAGAGTTAGTGAGAAAACCACAAAAGAATATATGTACGGCCCTGACTTCTTTGACTCAGTGGATAGAGCGTCGACCTGCTGACTGAAGGGTCCCAGGTGCGATTCTGGTCAAGAGCATGTACCTTGGGTGTGGGCACTTCCCCAGTAGGGAGTAGTGTGCAGGAGGCAGCTGATTGATGTTTGTAACTCTCTATTCCTCCCTTCCTCTCTGTAAAAAATCAATAAAATATATTTTTAAAAAAGAATATATATACACTTATAGGATTGTATATGTTTATTGAAAAAAAATCCATGTGTAAGGGGACCTGTGTAGTTCAAACCCATGTTGCTTCAAGGGTTAACTACACATCAAGTACTAAGGAAAAGTCTCCAGATTACATATCGAAAGGTTTATTCATGATTCTTTGTATCTTTAGGCCATTACCCATCAAGAACAGACAGTATAAGTCTATGTCAGTTGAAGTAATTTTTACTTTGTGTCATGATGTCACCAACTTCACTTACTGTTAGTGTCAAATGTTTCTGCTTTTTAATTTTGTTTTAAAAATGTATTCTTATTGCTTTCAGAGAGGAAGGGAGAAGGAGAGATAGAAATCATTGAGGGAAAATCATTGATCACCTTCTTCCTGCATGCCCCGTACTGGGTATCGAGCCCACATCCCAGACATGTGCCCCAACCTGGAATTGAACCCTGACTTTCTGATTCATAGGTCAATGATGAACCACTGAGCCATGTTTAATAAAAAAAAAATCTTATTAAATTATTTTTAGGATGTAAAAAACTTACCTAAACCCAAAGTCAAAACTAGCAAACAAAGTACATTCAGGGAAACGTACCTCCTTTCTCCCCACACCTCTGTAAGTAACCATGTGATTAGCTTCTGACTTATCCTTCCATTGTTCCTGAAACAGAGACAAATAATGTACATATCAATATTTCTTCTTTTTACACAAAAAGTGACATAATATGCACATTTTTTGCACTTTGCTTTTTAAAATAATGTTGATTAAGAGTGAATTAGCCTCCAGTGTAACTGAATGAAATGGAAAGTTGTTGAACAATACATATTTCTGCAGGAATATTAAGATTGGCTAAACTTGCAATGTATTTTCTGCATCCAGGCTTCATACTTGTGTGTATGTAAGGCATACAGAGGGGTCTGGAAGGATTCATGGCAAACTGATGATCACAGTGCTATTTCTAGGGCGGAAAGTGGGGTTTGAGGATGGCCAAAGCCTAATTTAACTTTCTCTGCAATATTTTAATATTTTTTACAGGGAAAGTTGATTCATATGATACTTGCGTAACTAAAATCTCAATTTAAATCCAATCTAATAAAAGAGAAACATGGTAAGTAGCCATACCCCTGCTACCCTTCCCATTGGCTAATCAGGGCGATATGCAAATTAACTGCCAGCCAAGATGGTGCCCGGCAGCCAGGCACTAAAGCGAACAGGAGGTTTGCTTGCTCCAGTGACAGAGGAAGCTAACGTTCCCCGCCTGCTGCTGCTGGCCTCAGAGCTTTCAGTTTGAAACATTGTTACAAATATAGAAGCTAAACAATACCCCAGAAACCTGCTTTCAACCAGCCAGGATCTCAGAGCTGGAGTTGAAATAGAGTTTCGATTATAGAACCCAAACAAACCAGATACCTGCTTTCAGCAGCCAAGGCCTCAGAGCTGGAGCCAAGCCTCAGAGCTAAAGCTGGCCCAGAATAGAAAAGAAAAAGAAAAAAAGGAGCAGTGGGGAGGTTCAATCACCCACCAGCCTGAAAACGGCCCTCAGCCCCTCATCCAGACTGGCCAGGCACACCAGTGGGGACCTCACCCTGAAGGGGGTGTGACCAGCTGCAAACAGCCATCATCCCCTCATTCAGGCTGGCCAGGCACCCAAGCGGGACCCCCACCCTGATCCAGGACACCCTTCAGGGCAAACCAACCAGCTTCCACCTGTGCACCAGGCCTCTATCCTATATAGTAAAAGGGTAATATGCCTCCCAGATCCGGGATCACCCAAACCGTGAGGCCTCCCAGCACTGGGATCAGTTTGACGGGGCAGCGCCCAAACCCCCTGATAGCCCTGCGGCTCTGTCTGTGACAGGGGGCAGGGCTACAACCTCCCTATCCGCCCTGCTCTGTTCGTGACAGGGGAAGGCACCCCAACCCCCTGATCAGCCCTGCTCTGTGCCTGATGGGGGAGCTCTTCAACCCCCTGATCACCCTGTGGTTCTGTGTGTGAAAGGGTGTGGCACCCCAACCGCCCCCCCACGGGCACTGCTCTGTGTGTGATGGGGTAGAGCCATAACCTCCCCATCATCGTCTCATTCTGTGTGTGACAGCGGGTGGTGCCCCAACTCTCCTATCGGCCCTACTCTGTGAGTGACAGGGGGGAGCTCCTAAACCCCCTGATTGGCCCTGCTCTGTGTGTGATGAGGGGAGCTCCCCAACCCCCTGATCAACCCTGCTCTGTGCATGACAGTGTACGGAGCCCCAACCCCCCTGATGGGCCCTGCTCTGTGAGTTACAGGGTGTGGCGCCCCAACCCCCTGATCGGCCCTGCTCTGTGTGTGACAAGGTGCGGCACCCCAACCCCCTCCCCCCACGGGCCCTGCTCTGTGTGTGACAAGGTAGAGCCATAACCTCCCCATCGGCCCTGCCCTGAGTGTGACAGGGTGCGGTGCTCCAACCCCCTGATCTGCCCTGCTCTGTGTGTGACAGGGGGCTGTGCCCCAGCTCCCCTATCGGCCCTACTCTGTGAGTGACAGGGGGGAGCTCCTCAACCTCCTGATCGGCCCTGCTCTGTGTGTGACAGGGGGTGGTGCCACAACCTCCCCATCTACCCTGCCTTGAGTGTGCCCCAACCCCCCAATCGGCTCTACCCTGAGCGTGACTAGTGGTGGCATCACAACCTCCCGATCCGCCCTCCTCTGTGTATGACAGGCGGCTGCGCCCCAACTCCCCAATCGGCCCTGCTCTGAGCCTGACCAGGGGCTGCACCTAGGGATAGGGCCTGCCCTCTGCCACTCAGGAGCAGGCCTAAGCCAGCAGGTCGTTATCTCCCGAGGGGTCCCAGACTGGGAGAAGACACAGTCTGGGTTGAGGGACCCCCTTCCCCCCCCCCCCAGTACACAAATTTTTGTGCACCGGGCCTCTAGTACTAGTATAAAAGCTAAAGCATAGGTGACTTGTAGATGATGGACACTGAAGCTTTCCCATTGATTGCAAAGATATAAAATAACTTCACAAAAATAACAGAGTAAAAAGCTGACAGATGTATCTACCAGAAATTAAACAAAATGATGCTCAATGTGTATTGTTCAGTTTGGGAAAAAGAACATATAGATCATGTCTAGTTGAACACATTTTGCTTTAAAAAGGCAGCCAGTATATATTGAACTTATATTTCTACTTAATTTTCAGTCAATTGTGTATACTAGGCTTAGTTTAGAATATTATCTTGGAGTTTTTAATCTTGAGTTCTTTTAAAGCAAATTAATGAACCATGAATATTTGCACCTAATTATTATACGGTAATAATTTGGGGACAAACTAGGATGACTTTAAAAACTCACTGTTCTATTGTGGAGTAGATTTCTCTGCTTTCTTTTTCCAATTCATTTTCAAGTAAAGGCTGTGAAATTACAGTTATTCAAGATGGGGGACCAGCAGTTCCTATCCATGCAAGTGTGTGTGTGTGTGTGTGTGTGTGTGTGTGTGTGTGTGTGTGTAAAGTGCCAATGACTTCCGAAGGGCATTGGGATCCTGTTTCCTGTATATTTCACCTTCCAAAATTAAATGCACATTTCACATCTTAATGCTAAACTTACATGTATCCAACCACAAGGGCAAAACCATTCTTTTGTCTCTATTGGAATTTTGCTTCATATTTTATACACACCCTTCTCAAAGCTTCAGACCATACCAGATTACAACTCTACATATTCAGAAGTGACAATCTCAAGGGAAAGACTCAGTGAGCACCAAAGCCCAACTGAAGCAAGTCCTCCTCCATAGGGGTGCTTCCAGCACAGCAGCTCTTCCACCTGAGTGCCAAGTCCTCATACCCAACTGGCCTGCTCAATTCATCCCAGTGATGCTAACAGCAATCAAGGCTCAACTGCAACAAGACTGCGCACACAGCCCACACAGGTGTCCAACTAGAGTGCCCAGCTCAGATGACTGGAAAGGCTGAGCTATTGGGCCCTAAACGACACCTATTACAGAAGGCCACTCTGTCAACTCCAGGAGACATAGCAACTCAACCTCATACATAGAAACAAATAGCAAAGTAGCCAAAATGCAGAGACAAACAAACACACATCACAAATGAAAGAAATAGAAGCAAGCAAACTTCTGGATACAGAATTCAAAATTATAGTCATAAGGTTGCACAAGTATTTTTTAAAAAATATTTTTATTGATTTCAGAGAGGAAGAGAGAGGGATAGAGAGATAGAAACATCAATGATGAGAGAGAATCATTGATGAGCTGCCTCCTGCATGCCCCTTACTGGGGATCAAGGTTGCTCAAGTATTTTAATGAGAGCTTCAAGGGACTGAGTGAGACTTTCAAGGATCTTAGTGAGAATTTCAAAGACATTAAAAAGGACCAGTCAGAAATTAAGCATACACTAACTGAAATAAAGAATAATTTACAGGGATTCAAAAGTACAGTAGAGGATCCAATGAATGATTTGGCATTTGAGGAAGGAAAAAATACCAAATCAGAAGAGCAAAAATAAAAATAATCCAAATTTATAAAGATAGTATAAGTAGCCTTTGGGACAATTTCAAACATACCAACATTCACAATATGGGGGTGCCAGAAGGAGAAGTGATAAATCAAGATATTGATAACCTATTTGAAGATATAATGACAGAAAACTTCCCCTATCTAGTGAAAGAAATAGACTTACAAGTCCATAAAGCACAGAGAGTCCCAAACAAGAGGAATACAAATAGTGACATACTTAGACACATAATAATTAAAATAACAATGGTTAAAGACAAAGAATCATAAAAGCAGAAAGAGAAATGATATCTTTAAAATTTGAATTGTAAACGCCTCTCTCCTTGATAGTCAAACTTTAGATAGGCTCCTCTGAGTCCTGTTTTTGACAAAGCCTCATCCTTTGGTGCTGTCCTCCATCTGTTTGCCCAATTGTGGCAAGAATATCACTGCAAGTTTAGTGAATATCTCTACCTTGATATCTGATCATGTTCCTCATCACCAACCTTTGATGTATAAATCTTTGGCCTGTCTTTACCAAGAACCCTCTACCCTTGGGATTTCCTTTGAGTAACTTTCCATCCATTGGCCCCCTCACTCTGTGCATTGGACATAAATCAACAGATAACTTTACTGTATTTGGAATTCAGCTAAGTTCTATTTTAAGCCTCCTTCCCCTTTGCAATAGTACCAAATAAAATCAGTTTCTAGAGCCAAAAGATAAAAATGAAAAAAAATTTTCTTCTGTACAACTGCATTCTTAATTTTTTGAAATGTTACAGTAAGTACTTATTCCCCCATGTAAATTAGAAAAACAACTATTTTTGGCCAAGAAAGAAAATGAAACAACCTCTCTGCTTGTCTAGATGGAGAACCAGTTTGTTTCTCTCACCAAGTCCCCTGATGATCCCAGATCAACACACAGACACAGCGCTGTCCCCAATGTGCAGGAGCCCGCCTCACCCAGACGCTCACCAGCTCGGCCTCCCCAGGGCCTGGGTGTAAAGGCGCCCAGCTGCCCGAATCACTAGGTTCCTCCACCTCCTTCAAATGCTGGATCTTCGCAGCAGTTAAGTCAGTGTTTCTCTAAGTGAATTCCACCTTCCACAAGTCATGGCAGGTACTTTTCCAACAATGGTTTCTGTGGGCAAATACATTTGAGGGAGTGATTCATTTGCCTCACACATGTGCCCTCAATTTCCCGAGAGTGACAAGCATATTACATAGTCAAGGTTTTAAGATCTACAGGACACAGAAAGCTGTTTAATCATGTTTCCTAAACTATTTGACTATGAAACTTTTTTAAAACATAAATATTTTCCTCCAGGGAATGTGTATTCCAATAAGATAACCTCAGAAATCTTTTTACTTGAACCAGTGTGAAGTCCGTTTCTGACACTTTCCAAAAGAGTTCAGACTTCTCAAGAGACCCAGCTGCAACCAAACTGAGCCAAACTGGGATTCAGAGTCTGGCTGATTGCAAAGTACAGGTGATGCTTCAGAGACACTCCTCCCACAGGAATCTTCAGGATTTTTTTACTGAAAGAGGAAGGGGAATAAGGCCACAGCATTGTTGGAATAAACAAGAACTGCTGAAGGTAGTGTTCTTGCAAAGAAGAGAATAGAGCAATATCTGCATATTTATCGGTAGGACATGCAGGGGACATCCAGGAAAATCCAGGCAGACTGAGGAGGAGGCATGCTGAGGTCCTCCAGGGAAACATGGAGGCATTAAACTTTAAAGCAGTGATTCCCAAAGTGGGCGCTACCGCCCACTAGTGGGCGCAAAGCGATCCAGGGGCACTGTGATGGCCACAGGTGCATTTGTTTTAACTTTTTTTGTATTACCTTTTTATTCTGAGTTCAATAAATAGTTTCATAATTTCAAACTTCAATGTTTCTAATTTACACCTTTCTTTACTATATTTTACGAAAAAGGTAGACATTAATACATATATCTTTCTGTTTAATTGCTATTAAAATTTTAAAAAAAATTAATTTCCAGGGGGGGCTGAGTAATATTTTTTCTGGGAAGGGGGCGGTAGACCAAATAAGTTTGGGAACCACGGCTTTAAAGTCAGCCTCTTTGTACCCTCAGGTTGGTGAGGCTCAGCCTTTCTCAGATGACATCAGTGACAGCTGCCTCATAATGTACTGAGCTATCGGCAAGGTGGTGAGCTCCCTGTCACTAGAGGGATGTGAGCAGATAGCATGAGCGGGGTAGTAGGTTTGAACATCATTCTTCAGTCATCCCTGGACCACCAGCCCATGAATTTCTCCACCATGTGGCAGCCTGGGCCCCACACAAACCTACCCATTCAGGACTCTAGGAAGCAGTCCAGGAAGCAGTCCGTTTTGCTACTTTAATGACGCCCATTAACATGTGGGACTTTTCAGTAGTATCAGTGCTTCTCAACCGTAAAAGTATACAAATGGTCTTGGGATCTTGTTCAAAGCAGACTCTGCTTCAGTGAGTCTGGGATGAGGGACTGATAATCTCCTCAGGTTTTAATGTTTCTGAACCACAGGGCTTAGAGGACTTCAAAAATTTCAATCCAGCCCCCACCTTTTATGATGCTTTGGCTGAAGACGGGACCATCCATTGGAACAGAAGCCTAACAAGGACAATAGGATTATATTCTGACAGGCAAGCCAGGTCAGCAGGAAACAAGACCCTTCTCGTGAATGGGCTGAGTACTCTCAAAGGGACTAAGTACTATGTGCAAGGAAGGAGATTTAATATTATAAAATCAATGTACCATATGCTAGACACTTTAAAGCATCATTAGATTTGTTGTTATAATAGCTCTATAAAGTAAGCTGTAGTGTCCCATGTGGTGGTGGAGCAGACAGAGGCATGTGTGGTTATCATTAAGTAATATTCCTGCTGTCTTTCTTCTAGGAGCATGACTGGGGCTTCTCTTCTTAGCCCCTTGTGTTTGAGGCAATTAATTGTGAGTGAAAATGACAGATGGAACATTTAATTGTGGTGTGAGTCCCTCCAGGCTACCTTTTCCTCTATCATTGTGATTGGCAATATTCAAGATGGGGAAGCTCCATCAGTGGGGCCCTTTAATGTGGATAAAGCAGAGTCCCCAGGTGACCTATAATAGATACACAGCATGCAGGATAAATACTCCTTTGTTGTATAAGCTACTGAGATTTTAGGACTGTTTGTTACTGTGACCTGCCTTGTTTATCCTGACTGATACATGCAAGGAAGCTGCAACAACTAGGACTTCACAGGGGTAAGATTTCATGAAGAATTGGCTAAATCCAGAGCCTCTGAAGTCAGTGCACGGCAAGGAATGGGTATCTCCAATCTGTGGTAAAGCTTCCATTCCCTGTATCCACAGCTCAAGCCCCTCATACCTCCCATGTTTGCAGCCATTGGTTGAGAAACGATCAGCCCAGCCTCTGTGGGTAAGATGAGCACGTGAATTTTCTGGGACTGAGGTGCCATAGGAATGGCAGCTTGATCACAAGACATCCACCGGGTCCTAGGGCACTATGGTGGGTGGAAGAAGCAGAGGAAGATCCTATGTGGGTCACAGAAACCACACTCCATACCAAGCCACTCACCACTAGCTCAGCACAGAGATAGGAAAAGGCCCTGAATCTCACAGTAAGAAACAGCGATCTCAATCACTGTCTGACTCAAGTCTTTGAGCCCATCTGAGCCAAAAAAAGCCACCACCACTATATGTAGCCCCTAGGAAATAGGAAGAGCTGATGGCCATGAAGAGTGAGCAGAACTGAGAGAGAAAGATCAGAGTCAAGAGATAGGCCCAATCCCACACCAAGGGGCCAAGCCTCATCAGGTTGCCACTCTGCTGTCCTCACAGAAGGAAAGGATGCTTACTTGGAGCTTCTTGGGAAGGCTTAGGGTCTCAAGTCGCCAGAGATTGACTCTCAGGGTGAAAAAGTCTCTGTGGGTAAGACAGAGGGAGTCTGACTCATCTGATGAGGCAGGACACACAAGGCCAGGACACAGTGGAGTCCGCAAGTGATGATGGCACCTGCCCTTCCTGGTCCTTAGTTAGCAAGAGGGTCTCAAACTGGTTGACCACATTCTGGAATAATGAGGGAGACTTATTAGGAAGCCCGAAGTCTGCGTCCACCCCTGACCTACTGAATTCAAACCTACTGGTGATACAGCCGTGGAATCTATATTTCAAAATAAGTTTGATGTAGCAGCAACATTTGAAAACCAAGAATGCACGACTTACCTAACTCCTGGACACTGGTGACTCCTGACCAACTGCTCCTGGGGTTCAGCACTTACAGTTTCCCTTAAGTTGCCTTGCTCAGCTCCATTAAGACCGCAGCCTCTGCAGTGAGTGCTGCAGGACACACTGCATCACAATTTCCATAGCTAACTTCCTGGCCTTTTGGCAATTCCAGACAGGTGCAAAACATTATTTTTTCTAGAAGCCTCAGTAATTATTTTCTGTTTTGCGTCAGACAAAAAATTATTTGGTTCTGTGAGCTATTGTAACCACTCCACTCTGCTGTCATAGTGCAAACATAGCCACAAACAAAATGTAAACAGAAGAGCACGGGGGTGTTCCAATTATGGGAACTGAAAGGGGAGTGTTATATCATTTTCACCTGTCACAAAATATTCTTCTTTAAATTTGTTTTCAGTTACTTACAAATATAAAAACCATTCTCAGCTCATGGGCCCTAAAGAATGACGCTGGATTTGTTCTGCAGACCATAGTTTGACAAGCCTTGCTCTAGGATGTAAGAGGGGTACATATTTTCTCCTCGTGCCATGCCTCTTCAAGGATGATGGGTAATACCTAGCCTCACCATGGGCTCCAGGGAGAGGTGGAGTTGTGTACTCGGCCCCACTTGCCATCACAGCTCAGTAACTGACAAAGTAGGAAGCTGCCAATGACAGAGTAGGAAGCTGCCTTGGGAATGAGATTTTGGAGGTCACCAAAAGTGTTACACTCCTCCTCCCCAAGCAGACCCCCAAAGGAGCTGGCCAAGTAAGACCAGCAATCTGCTGTACACTGCGCTAGAAAAATGACTGCAGAACTTAGCCAATCTCAGGGAAGGGTTGCACCCAGTTGTGGCAAGCAAGCCTTTGCCCCCAGCCCCTCCCACTCTGCAGACATCACCAGAGGATCCCTTCTCTACTGAACCCACAATGCTCTCAGCTAAATCAGGCATCGATTTGTTTTCCACCTCCATCATCGATTTGTTTTCCACCTCCATCTCCACTGAGACCAAGAGTCAACTCAACACCAGGGGTGAGGGTGTCCAGACATTACTGGAGGGTATTGTGTCACGCCTGTGAGGGCTGCTGGGCTGTCCCATCTGCTCTGCACACCAGTCACAGGCTGGTCCCAGACACAGGGCAGTCCCAGACACAGGGCAGTCTGAAAATGCCCTTCTCTGACTGTGAATCTTCTGAGGTTGTAGAAGTTGCCTTTGCCTCGTCCGTGCACAAGGAGAAGGCAAAGTAGGAGGTGGTGGAGACAGGGGTAAGAAGACACCAAAAGGGAGTTTAGAACCCTCTGTGGCCACATCTTCCATCCCACAGGCTCCTACAAACTTTTTCTGTAGCCAGAGACTAAATATTTTTGCTTGGGGGTCATACATTTGCTGTCACAACCATTCCTCTCTGCTCTTGAGGCCTGAATGCAGCCAGAGACACGATGTCAATGATGGTGAGGCCAAGTTCCAATAAAACTTTATTGACAAAAACAGGCAGTGGGTCAAATTTGGCTGACAGGAGTTTGCTAATTTCTGATTTAGGCTCCTCTCCTAGACAGATTTCATACCTCTCACAGATAAAAAGCATAAGCAAAAGATGGTTTGTGGTTAAACCTGTGTGGGTCCAGCCCAGGAGAAAAATTATCCAAGGATGGGGTTACCATTTCCACGGAGGCTGAATGTGACCTTGAGGACGAAGGGAGTAAAACCAGAATGCCTTCCCTCACCGAATAATCTGCTCGGTGTGGTGGAAAGAGGCACATTCTCTGGAACCAGACTACCTGGGTTCCAACCCCACCATGCCAAGGATCTCTTGTCCAACCCTGTACC